GAGAGAGAGAGAGAGAGAGAGAGAGAGAGAGAGAGAGAGAGAGAGAGTGTGTGTGTTGTGTAAATTAAACAACCTGAGTTAGGCTCTTCCCATTTGGGGCACTCATTTCTGCTTATCTCAGAGCAACTCAAATTTAGGATTTATTTGTTTCTTCATTGTGTAAATAAAATTTCCATACTGAGGTCATCTAAAGTATTCATTCTATTCTTTTTCCAGTCTATTTGAAGTTGCATTATTGTTGGCTTATTTGTACTTTGACTGAATTTTTCTACTAAAAAATATCTTAATGGCATTTTTCATCTGACTATTTCTCAAGGTGTAGATTAATGGACTTAGCATGGGAGTTATTACAGTATAAAATATAGCAACTTCTTTATCAATGGGCAATGTAGCTGCAGGTCTCATGTCCACAAATATGCAGGGTACAAAATACAATATTACCACTATAATGTCATAAAGAATAACAACAACACAGGCTATCTAAAACACTAAAAGCAGTCCTTCTGCAAGACACATGGTAACCAGTGCATGAACATAGTCGTGTTATGAACTATTTCAGAATTATCACATGGACTTAAGTATTAAAGATTCTTTTAAAACAATATATGCCTACTTTCAATGTACCCTCAGCACCATCTCCTCTGAAATTTTGGAACCAAATTATGTTCTGCTTTGTTGCTTTTTATGTAATTACATAAAACATAGGTAACTTTGACTTAGATCAAAATGTTTGTAGCTTCACAATAGTTAGAAAATGCTACTGTTAAATTCTATTAGTGGCACTCCTCCTGCCTCCACTGCTATTAACTTCTCTAGTACTGCTCACTAATGAATACTAGTGTGTTTCAGCCAAGACCAAAGCTCAGTTTATGGTGCTTGTTTCCAAGATCCTTTTTTACTACAATTCACTAGTACTTTCCCAGTCAGATAATGATTTAACTTTTCTGGCTCTCCATTTTCTGTAAATAAACTGTAGAAAATTTGCTTTTACTTTAATGCTACTGCAATGAACAAGAATACATCCTACTATCCTTTGTGAGTTTAACTGCCTCTAGGAGAATAATTTGAACCCTTTTAAAACTATGATTCATCCCAAACATTCAGCACACTTGAGACTGCCTAGAATATTTACACATCTTGCTCATATTATTAAACTTTTTAGCTATCTCCAGGCAGAATGCAACTAAATAGTTTCAAGTAGTCATAAATACCTAGAACTCTTTCTGGAAGAATAAAGAATAGTTGGTTATATTTTATTGATTAACAGAATGAAATTAAATTAAATTAAAAATAAATAAACATGAGAGTGTATCAATTTTCCCCCAGGAGGTATGATTAACTGTCTCATGAACTAGATGGAATACAGGAACAACGTGACTGAGTTTCTTATCCTGGGACTCTCACAGAACCTACACATGCAGAAAATTATATTTGCTGTTTTTCTGGTCATCTATATCTTCTCTGTGTCAGGAAATTTGCTCAATCTGATCACCATTGCAAGCAGCCAACTGCTGAATTCCCCTATGTACTATTTTCTGGCCTATCTCTCCTTCATTGATGCCTGCTACTCCTCTGTCAGTACTTCTAAGCTGATTGTTGATTCACTCTGTGAAAGGAAGTTCATTCAATTCAATGAATGCCTGACTCAGATCTTTGGGGAACATTTCTTTGGAGGGGTTGAGGTTATCTTGCTTACTGTCATGGCCTATGACCGCTATGTAGCCATCTGCAAACCTCTGCACTATGCAGCCATCATGAACCAACAACTCTGTAATTTACTTGTGGGAGTGTCATGGGCTGGAGGTTTTCTTCATGGAGGTATACAAATTCTATTATACAGGTATAAGAACAAAAACATTAAATGAGATCACTAAACACTGGCTGTCAACTAAGGGTTCTTTTAAAGACTTCTTGGTTCAGATGTATTCAGATACACCAAACAGATATTTGTCATCATTTTCTACAAATTTTCATATATTTTCTATGTACTATGGTAACAGAAATATTATGTTTTCTGCCTAACATAAGCAGAAAAATTGGTAATGTTAATTACACTCTTTTGCTTCTTCTAGTTACTTTTATCTCCCAAATTTTAAACTATTATGCACTTCAAATCATTGAACTATATAATCATATTTTCATGTTAAAAAGGCATTTGTCTACAAACTGTCTTGTATATGATTTACTTACTTATACACCATTTCAGAAATATTTTCATTTGATGCAGATTTATAAATAAATCATATAATAGGGTGATACATAATGATATATTTAAATTTTTAATAAATAAGAGAATGATAGCTGATGTGCACTTGGAAGAACTCTTTCATTTTAGCCCACCTTTAGATCATCCTTCCTATATATCATTATATACTAGAGGTGGCAAAACAGTTGGCAAAACTGTGGGAATGTGCTGAAACAGTAATCTAGTACATCATTTAAAGACTGTAGGAATTAAATGAGAGTTCTTGCTCTTCCTCTTCTCACTCACCTTGAATTTATTCCCTGGTACTTCACACACCTTTTTCATCATCTATCTATAAAATGAGAATAAGAATGGTATTGCATAATTTACCATGAGAATTGGCTAAAATGGGAAGACATGCTTAAAGGACTACAATTTCTGTATTTAGAATGAATACATTTACCAGATAAACATAATTGTTAACTTTAGCAGCAACATGGAGAAATGTTTAACCTTCCAAAAACTTAGGAAGAATACTTTTTAATAGTTTCAAAGAAGCTACAGAAATTTGCAATAGTCATAAACACAACCCCAAAATTAATTGTCTGTGTTTGTAATTAGAATAATAAGCTTATTTTTACTCACTCAATATTCATATTTAGGACTTTTGATGTGTGGTCAAGCTAAACTCTGCTCAACTTCATCATTAACCTTAGTTGCTAAAAGAGGTATCCAACGGTAAAGCAGTGAAAGGTGGGTCTAATCCATCTCTTCATCTTTGGGTTACATTATCTAACATTAAATAAATGTAGAATACTTACCAAATTCCATGAAAAGAATGGGTGCGGATGAAACATACTCTATCTTTATTTGACAAACCTTGAAAAAAGAAACTCCTACATACAAAATGTCTTAGTATCAACTAATTTTCGCAGTGTTGAAAGATATACCTCGGAGACTCTAGATCTCAGTGAGTTCTGAGTGTTCAGAAGAGACTTGGGAGGGTGGAGTTTCACAATTAAATCTTGACATTTTTGTGGATATCCTAACAACATATATTAAATAGTATCTCCATAGAAAAATCTTTCCCTCTTTCCTAAAAGATAAGGCTGTTTCACTGACCACATGGAGTTTTGATCTAGAATGTATTCTTTTAAGACACTATGTAGAGATGATATTTGATTTCTAATTCTGGTTCTTCATTCTGAAAACCAATAGCTTGCAAGGTTGCAGAAAATTCTCCATAGAATCCACTCTACTCATGGTGAATCTTGGTGAATGTCTTGCTATGGACATGGGATATGGAAAAAGCCAACATTTGTATCCTGCATTATAAGCGTATTTAAAGAAGTTTCCATGAATTTCAATGATCTTGTTATTGTGCTTTCTCTCCCTGGAATTGATTATCTCCATTGATGGAACGGGTCTGTCTTAGAATTCGTGTTTTTGAAAATATATTTGACTCACCCACTATTCAATAGAGAATAGAATTCCCCATGCAAGGAAAGAAAGCATGTAGTAGATCCCTTCCTCTATCTAATACTGTCTTGTTAAGAATACTGAATGCCATGTAAGCAAGCTACAAGGTCTTCATTCTACTATGAACAATAAGAATGAAGCTTTTCTTGTGATGAATAGGACATGGGGATTACTTTTATTCTTACCAATATGACACTATCTTTACAAGACTGCTTAATATCTAAACTGATAAATGCAAGAACTTGACAATCATTTAAAAGTAATAACTTCAGAAATTTTACACTGACATTTTAAAGACTTTTGTTCTTTTTAAAATCTATACAATTCTCTATATTACATTTATCTCCAAGCCATTGTTATCATAAGGACTAGATTGAGAGCTCTATCCCAAAACAAAACAAAACAAAACAAACAACTTAAAGAGTAGGTTTTAAACTTATCCCCTTGTATTAATGGATATTAAACATACAATCATCCATTAAGTTTAACAATTATAAATAATTGTAATCATTATTTTTAATGCACAATCACAAGTAATTTAGCCTGGTTTGTACTCAGTATAGAGCAAAATACTAGCTGAACTCCTGATCTGCCTACCTCTACTTCCCAAGTAAGTGACCTTCAACCCTTATTGTCATTAATCCAGTTATATCTTTGACAATTTAATACACATATATAAATCATGCTGGATACTGTTGTGTTTTGGTTATAAGTTTAATCATTAATGGCTCAGCCATCTCTCCATCTATCCTCCTCCATTATGACTACTCTCACCAACTACCTTCTCTTTTCTGTTCCTTAATCCATGTTAACCCAACCTTCCTACTAATCTCTTTCCCACATTTATCTCCATCGCCTCTTCCTGTTCCCGCTCCCCACTCATCTTCCTTCCATCCTCTTTTTTTTCTTCCTCTTCTTTCTCTCCTCCTCTTCCTCCTCCTCCTCCTCCTCCTCCTCTTCCTCTTCCTTCTTCTTCTTCTTCCCCATTGAATTTAACCAGGTCCATTCAAGCGACCATGAGGATATGAGGGTAGAAATATCTATTGAGATCTGGTTGGGTCACTGGTCGATACACTGCTGAATGCAATAACATTAATACCCTTGACAACCACCAATAGTTTACAGATAAATTGGTAAGTTGGGGATGTATGAACCTTTTACCACACAAGGACTGATATTACATGAGTTGATTTTTCATACATAGTGCAGATAACCACAGAATTCTGTGTTTATTATTGCAGTGGGTGTGCCAAACACCCAAACTAGTTCACTGTCATTATCCCTATGCTATGGCTTTTATAATCTCTAGACTCCCATTTTAGCAATGTGATCTAAGTGTAAGGTGTTGTATAAATGTACTGAACAGGGTTGAGCACTCACCCATCACTGATTTCTAGTTGCTTCATTAGTCATAAGATTCTAAAATAACTACTATTCAATGAAAAGAGAACCTTCTCCTATTTTGGCTGAGGATAACATTTAGAACCACTTTAATTCTTCTTAAATTAACAACAATGGTGATTTTTCTTCCATGGCTTATGACCCCATTGGTCAAGGGTATTTTGTAATGTTTTCAATACTAGGCATAAATTCTTTCTTTGAAGTAGGCATCAAATCTAACCAGAATTTAGTTGGTTATCTCCAGCTTAGTCTTGCCAGCAATGTAAAAGCAGGCATACATCGCACCATGTGCAGCTTGGTGAATGCATGCATTTCTCTGCCCCATAATTTTGGAT